GCTTATAGTTCTAAATCTATCAAATATCAGTAACAATTCAATCAATCAATTATCTAGAGCAATTGCTAAGCCTACGGTCGGGTCTTAACGCTCTCAATTCAACATATGTAGTTCGGTCGCTAACATAATTAGAATTGCTAATTGTAGGTAAGCCCCTAAAAGTAAGATCTTTCGATTCTAACTCTTATTAACAAGAATTAATCACACAATTGATTAGGTTGCAAGATTAACAATAAAACACTATCAATTAGAGAAATCAAGAATCAAAATATCAATAATATCAAACAAGATTCATTATATAAACATGGATTCCCAAACCCTAAAAATAAACTAGTCTAGCATGAAATAAATAAATAAAACTAGATCTAAGAAATAAAACATAATTAAAATCAAGAATATAGAAATAAAATACCTCAACGAATTAAAATAGTAAACCCAAGAATCATCCATGGAAGAATTCATGGAGATGCCATGAGAAACTAGGGTTCAAAAGAGAAAACTAACGTAAAAACGGCCTAAGGAAAAAATAATAAACCCTCGGAACTATTTATAAACTTCCTAAATCTTATCTAAAACTAATTAAAGAAAAAGAAATAAGAAAATATAAATTACATAAGTTGCAATGCTATTGGGCGATAGATGATGACGTGGCATAAAACCGTAAGTGAGGTCGAGGGATCGATACAAGTTATATGTGCAGCGATGATGCTTCGTGGGCTTCTTTGGCTGCTCGGCAAAACCTGCGGGCTGGCAGTAGGTGCTGGGCACTTTGTGTGGGCGTGGGACAGACCTACAAGCTTGGCCACGGGTGCTGCACTTCGTTTCTGACTGCATGCTCAGATTGAAACGCCTATAACTTATGTTCTAGGAGTCTTCTTGGGGCGTGTGACCATCATTGGAAAGCTATTCAAGTCTAGTTTCCAATGCAACTTGAATCACTTCAATCCAATCTGTAGAACTCAAGTTATGATCAAAAGAGTGGACAAAGGTCAGTTTTAGCACTTTGTAAACCATCGTTTTTCTTCATTTCTAACTCAAATTCAATTCCGAAAAGATGCATTGCGACCCTCGTGGATGCTATGATCATCTCTCATGCATATAAATATCAACCGAAGCTTCCACAAACACAATTCTTTCGTTGAGCGACCTTGATTCATCGACTTTTCATCCTTTCATTGTTCGATTTTTCCGAAATTACTCCGAAAGCGTCTAAATAGTTATAGAAACTACCTGAAACATTCAGAAAATACAAACGAAGCGTAATAGAGCACAAAAAGGACAACTTATGCAATTGTGACCTAAAAAGCGACTAAAAGACCTAAAAAGGAACTATAAACTTAGCTTAAACATGTCTATAAATCCTATATGAATGTGATTTATCATTAATACACTGTAAAAGTTATTTTATGCCAATAACATTCAAATTTAAATTACTTGAATAAATTTCACTGCCTTTTGGCATCTTGTTACATTTTTATGATTTGCTATGTTTTTGTTTGTAATTAAAACTTGACCTTACTTTTAGATCAGAGTTTATTTTAAGGACATCTTATACAAAATAAATTACAAATTAGCGAATAATAGCAATGTATCAATCGTAGAATTAAATTATCTAGTTACACGAATTAAATAATAAATTATATCAAATTATTATAGGCCAAACCCTTGTTATAATTTGCATATACGACAATATAAGAAATTTCGAAGCTTCTCTTCACAAATTTTATTCTCTTACTTCTTATACATTTTATATCTTGAAAATGATTCACTATGTGAAATTAATTTCTAGATTCTTACACCAAATGCTTCCTTTTTCTTGTCATTTGTGTATTGCTTCTTTACTGCTTCAATATCTCTCCTAATCTATCGTTATCTTTATCGTTGCAATAATTTTACAAAGCATTTTTAGAGATATTTATCCATCTATTGATTTATCTATTTGTTTTTTTATTCCTTATTTGGATTTTTGGTGATGTGAAAGAATTTATATTAGGAGAAGTGTTAGGGGAAGATTGATGAATAAATGTCAAATTTAAATTGAAATTGAAAGTTGAAGGGAGAGAAAGAGGAAAAGGATTAAGATTATTATAATTAAGTTTATTGAATTAAAGTGAAGGTTACATATATTGAAGAGCTATTAAAAGATGGGGAGGAGGGAACTAAAGGGCCAAGAAGTAAAAAGGATTGTAAAGAAAGTTAAAAGGAAAGGATAAGAGGACACGTGGCAAATTAGTTTGTCCTTTTAAAAACTTAGTATAGAAGTATAGATTAGTCTATTTTCCAACACAATAAATGTCTTGCCTCTTAAGTATGAGGTATCACATTTCTAGCATGTATTAAATAATAATATTAATATCTAATTAATTGTAGTGAGATTAAGACAAAATAAAGAAGCTCAAACTACAATCACATGAACAATACACACAAAATGTCTTTTTTATTCTTACACAAGATGTTTTCTTTAAATACATTACGTGTCTCGATATTAAGTTTCGAGTATAAACTTTTACCATTAATACATTTGAAGAAGCAAGTTTTTTTTTTTTAACAAAATAAAAAATAAAAATAAAATAGTAAAAGTGAAGACAAGGCTGCATACTTAACACATCTTTTTTCTTTTCAAGCGCAATACACTTTCTTAAATTGTAGATTAAGTGTTTCTTAAGTTTACAACATAATGAATAAGGAGGTTGTGTGTAAAAATTAAAAAAAAATAATAAACAAAATAAACATTGAAAATGGGAGGAGAGTGGGGTAAATAACCTAAACTATAGCCACTCATTGGAATGATTTAAGAATACATCTTTTCTTTACATTACATACATATATATATAATGTGTCATCTCGAATTAAATTTGAAAAGCAAGTTCATTGAATATAATACCAAGAAAGTAACATTCGAAGTATGATGAAAAGAAAAATAAATTAAAAAATTAAGGGTTCGTTTGGCATTGCTGTGGTTTTCTGTTTTTTGGTTCTTTGTTGTATAAAAGTATATGATATATATCACATAATGAATCAAAAATTATTTAAACTTATTAAAATTATAATAATTTTGAAAACTGACAACAAAAAAGTGGAAACATCTTTTTCTTGTTTCCTGTTTTTGGTTTTTAGTTTTAAAAAAAACAGGAAACTAAAAACAAAAAAATGATGTCAAACAAGCCCTAAATATTTAAATCATGCAATTGTAGCAAAAACTACATTATGAACATCACTTAACAAGCACATATTTCATCTTTAATTTCCAATAATAATCATCAATCACTAGATTATAAAACCAAAAGGAAAACAATAATGAAATCTTAAGTGGCAAACTTTAATAGAGAGCATATGATGAATTAAATTTGTGTCGTAACTGACAAACTCTATTATCAGAGAGCTAATGATGAATTCGTCTCGTAACTGACAAACTCTAACAGAGAGCTAATGATGAAATCAAATCTTAAATAACAAACTTTGATAGGAAACTAATGATGAAATCAAATCTTAACCGATAAAATCTTATAGAGAACAAATGATCTTATAACTGACAATCTCTAGTAGAGGACAAATGATTCAGAACTGACAAACTCTAACAGTAAATAATACTAATAAATATTACTCTTAACATGTATTGAATGAAGATGACTGTGCAATCTGAGATAAACCTACTAAAAAAAGGGAATAGCGTAGGACAAAAAAGGCATATCTGCATTCACGATTTCACGTGAGCAATACATGTAAATGTCTTTTCTTTTCAAGTGCAATATGCTATCTTAAATTATAGATGACGTGTTTCTTAAAATAAATTATAGTCTTTTATACCTTTCCCCGTTAACACAATTATTGAGCAATTAATGTGTGAATATCAAAATTTTCAATTGAAAATGGAAAAAGAAATGGACAAAGTAGTAAAATTAGGGTTTGCTCAAATAATAAAATACTAGTATGAAGTATTTTTCTATCTCTTTCAAACGTAATTTGTTCAAACCATGTGCAAATGACATGTCTTATAAGTATATGATAATAATTTTCACTATCAACACATATTGAATGGGGAAGTAATGCACTAAGCTAGGGCCTGTTCTTTTCAGCTTATTTTCAGTTCAGTTCAGCTCCAATAAGTTGAATTTAGTTCAGTTCTTATCTTAATTTCCTTCCTCATAAAACATTCAGTTCATTTCAACTCCAATAAGTTTAGTTCAATTCAGCTCAATACAATCAATCAAAACATGCCCTAAGATGATTAAAAATAAAATCACAGAGAGCGAGCTGAGAGTAAAGTTAGATAGAGAAATTGAAACAAATCTTGTCAAATGACACACAGAGTTGTCCTTTACTTCCGACAATACACAGAGCTGTCTATTCTCCTCGAACACAATTACCTAATTTTAAATTGCACATAATACGTATCTTAAGAATATACTTAGTATAATCTCTTAGGTATGAATCACGAATTTCGAAACTCAATTACTATGCACATATATGGTAAATAAATGGGTAGATAGAGCATATTGTTCTATACCTAGTCTCCTATTTTTACACCCTAAATTTTGATAACAAGCAAATTATTCTTCTTGTAAAAAAAACAAAAGCCACACGCTTACGTGTGTTATGTCTTCCCTTACATTTTTTTTTTTTTGAGGCAATGTCTTCCCTTACATATTAATTCTATTATTATTCATTTATAAATATTTATATTTATATTATTACAATTACAACAATAAAAAAATAATAAAAAAAAAAACGCCAAAAAGAACGGCAATATCTTTTTCCCGAGGAAGACCGCAGACTCACCAACAACATCATCAAATCATCATCACCAACTTTAAATCAACGGTCACAATCTCATCTAACCCCACACAACCCTCCACATGTCACTCTCTCATTTGTCATTCACACTCCCATTTCTCACAGCCAAAATACTTCTAGTTAATCAGTTAAACACGCCAAATAAAAAAATAAATAAAAATAAAAATTAAAAAAAAGACAAGCTACTACTACTATACTACTGGAAGAAAAAGAGACAGTAATTCCCTTTTTTTTCTTCATTCATTCATCTTCTCTCTACTTTCTCTCTCCTCATTTTCTCTCTCTACTTTCTCTCTCCTCTTTCTGGGTCTTCTCTTGCTTGACTACTATCACGATCTTCTCTCTCCTCGACCTTCAGCTTGATCTCTTATGGTTCAATCGTTTGATTTTTGGTTCAACCTTTGAAATCGGCGTAAGTCAGCTGGTCAAAATTTTGGTTCGATCGACGCGTTTTTGGTCAATTTTGAGGTTCAGATCATGGAATTTTCTTCTTGTTTTTAGTGTTTTTGTTTGGGTTTTTGATTGTTCTAATTTTGTATTTGAATTGGGTTTTTTTTTTTTTTTTTTTTGATTAATTTTTGTTTTTGTAACTGTAACCTGGAATTCACGCGTTTTCTGGGTGTTTGTTGAATTTTTGTCATCGGAAAAGTTTGGGGTTTTTTTGCTTGAATTTGTTTTGGTTTTTTAGGGTTTATGATTGTTTGGTTATGGTGGTGGAAAAGGGTTATTGAGTTGGGTGTTGTTGTGTTTTGGGGGAGATGGAAGTGAAGGGAAACTGGGTGGGTAACTAGGGTTTTGATTTTAGTAGGTTAATTAATACTGTTTTTACCCTTTTTTGTTTTGAGAAATGTGATTGATTATTTATGATTGTTATTACCTATTGTAGAAGATTATGTAATGATTCTTTCCTTCTAGATAAAATTTGATGATTGGAGTGGAATTCTATCTTGTGAAATTTTGCTCATTTTCGTCTTCTGGTGTTTGATTGATCTAATTTTGTTGATTTGTTAGCTGATTAGGTTGTTTTGTAGTTGATTCGAGGCGGTTTTTCGGGTTGATTGTACATTTATTCATTTTGGTGTGCAATTTAAGTTATGATTAATTCATTCAATTTGTATAGGTTTTTGTGGTTTATGGTTTTGGCTAGAAATCATAGAACTTGTTATCGTTTACTTGTAAGTATTCGTTTCGATATTGATTCTGATTGATAATTGTTGTGGATGCTTTTTATTCAGGGCTCCAGCTGGGGGTGTTTTAGATTTGGCGTGCTGATGCTGAGGAATTAGATAGATTCAGAGCTTGCTTCTCTGATTGGGGGAACAAGATGTTGGAGGCTTCGAAGTTTACCGGGATCATAGGCATTAACAACAATGACAACAAATTTTATGACTTCTACAAGCTTGGTGTTGGTGAGAATTCCAACATGTCGATTGACAGTTACGCGAGTTTGGCAGCGAGTAATGGTGGGGGATCTGTAGCAATGTCTGTTGATAATAGCAGTGTGGGTTCTAATGATTCACACACTCGTATGTTGGGTCATCAAGGATTGAAGTGCGTCAAAGATAATTATTCGGTTGCTGGAAGCAATAATCATCGAGGAAGGGTAACCCATGCTTTAAGTGATGATGCACTTGCTCAAGCTCTTATGGATCCTAATTATCCTACTGAGGGCCTCGAGAATTTTGAGGAGTGGACCATCGACTTGAGGAAGCTTAACATGGGCGATGCATTTGCACAGGGAGCTTTTGGGAAGCTTTACAGGGGCACTTATGAAGGTGAGGAGGTTGCTATTAAAATTTTGGAGAGGCCAGAGAATGATCAGGATAGGGCCCAGCTGATGGAGCAACAATTTCAGCAAGAGGTTATGATGCTTGCTACATTGAAGCATCCAAATATTGTTCGGTTCATTGGAGCTTGCCGAAAACCCATGGTCTGGTGTATTGTTACTGAATATGCAAAGGGTGGTTCCGTTAGACAATTCTTGACAAAGAGGCATAACAGATCAGTGCCTTTGAAATTAGCTGTTAAGCAGGCTTTGGATGTGGCTAGAGGAATGGAGTATGTCCACCAGCTTGGACTGATCCACAGGGATTTGAAGTCCGACAATCTGTTGATTTTTGCTGATAAATCCATAAAAATTGCGGACTTTGGAGTTGCTAGGATTGAGGTTCAGACTGAAGGAATGACTCCAGAGACTGGAACATACCGCTGGATGGCTCCGTAAGATTCCTTGCTCTTGTTAACTGCTGTCTTTCTTTCCTTTTAAGCTATTATATACATGTGTGCTCTATTCAATTTTCTTGCTTAAATCTGCTTACTTAACTCCTAATCCCCAACATTACTTTGCCACCATATTTTAGATATCCTTTGAAATCCTATTTCATATAAGGTATTCCTTCCCCCTCCCCCAACTGTTCAGACTTGCTTTTATCAATTAATTGTTTTGAAACCGACTAAATTCTACTATGATTTGCCGATATATGGTTGTCTGATTGTTCTGCAAGGTGTCTTTATTTCTGTCTTTTATGCGCGTTCATAAAGGGAGAAGGATTAAAGGTTTATGATCCAATAGATAACCTATAAGGTGGCTTTGTTTCTATCTTTTATGAGTATTGCATTAAGTGGGCAGGATGATAATCATCCAATAGATAACTTGTACACCATAAGTGGTGGCTTCTAGGAATAGCTTTCTAGCCTACACTCAACTGATATTTTCTATTACTAGAAGCAACTTACTGCATGCAACATTAAAGATTTCTAGTGGAATCCATCATGGTACATGTGTCAGCCTAACTAAAATGGCTTTGGTTATCTTCTTCTATAAGATACTTTTGAATTTAACTGTCAACTTTAATGTGGAATTTGGTTGTTTGGAATAGCAAGGAGCATGCTTTAGGTTGTTTGAGCAACATTTTTTAAAAAAAAGAAAATTAACTATCATTCCATTTGTAAGAGCAGCTCCATTTTCTTGGCCCTATTAGAACACTTATCTGTACTTTTTTTACTCAGTAGGTATGACCTGGCTTTCCATTGGCTGGCTTTTGAGCCTTCTGATGGAATTGTAGCCCAAGACACCGCTGTAATATTGACTTTGAACAATTATCTTTGTGACATTAGTTTACTTGAATGCTATCGCAAATTAACTTTTATGTTCGGTGCTCAACGAGTCAACGTGCTTCTCTCAATTTCAAAGAAATATATCCAGGGTTCATTAATTGTGTAGTATTTTCTCTGACAGTATCCTGAAATCATTATTTGTATGTTATTGTAGTTGCTTCTATATAAGCTCGTGTCATGCGATTTATTATTTGTGGTTTGGCTGATGCATCATTTTAAAATTGAAGCTGTATAGTTGTAGTGGCAGAGGAATAGAGGAATATTACAATTCTGATTTCTGGAAGGGGTAAGGGGTTGGTAGACTGGTACAACGTAGATTCTATTTAGTTATAGATCTATGTTGGCTGTAGGACATCAAGAAGTTATTAGCTCTAATCACTTTACAAAAATTATGCTTACTTCACCACTGTTGGGCATTTCTCAGCCTCAGTAAGCTGGCTAAACAGTAAAGTTGATTGAGGATTGTAGTATACTAGTATGTAGGAAAAGTTTCACTAGTTGGAAAACTCTTTGCTTTGTTATTTACTGAAAGCTTCCTCTGTTGTGTTGAGAAGGTGTGATGTTTCAATTGAGGTTGCTTATATTTCTCTCTGTCACTTGTGTGTTTCATCTTTCTGTGGCGTTAGTCAGGTATTCACTTGCTGTGCTTGACATTTAAACTTTTCTGCGTAGCATGGAGATCTTCTTGACTGCACTATTATTTTCCTTCTGCAGTGAAATGATCCAGCATAGGCCTTATACACAGAAGGTTGACGTGTACAGTTTTGGAATTGTCCTTTGGGAGCTGATTACGGGTATGCTCCCATTCCAGAATATGACTGCTGTTCAGGCAGCATTTGCCGTTGTCAACAAGGGTGTCCGCCCAATTATCCCAGCTGACTGCTTGCCTGTTCTTGCTGAGATCATGACCCGTTGTTGGGACCCCAATCCCGATGTGAGGCCGCCCTTCTCAGATGTGGTGAAGATGCTCGAGCATGCAGAGACCGAGATCATGACAACTGTTCGTAAGGCGCGCTTCAGGTGCTGCATTACACAACCTATGACTGCAGATTAATGCACAGAGGAAGAGAAAGAAAAAGAAAAAGACGAGACAGGAGAGGAGAGGAACAAAAGGGATAGACAGATTTGTGGGGGGTTATTCAGAAGGATTTGGTACAGCCAAAGTCTTGCAGGGAAGGTTGTTTTACTTAACCGTGTATCTATCAGGATATGATTTTCTTACATTCAGCTTAGAAAAAAAAGGTGGAAAAATCAAGATAAAAGTCGAGAACTTCTGGGTTTTCTGCTTTTTTTTTTTTCCTTTTTTTTTTGTTTCTTTTTTTTTCCCTTAAATTATAATTCAAATGGATTTCTATGGTTGCCCTTAGTAGGAGGAAGAGAAGATATGTGATCTGTATTTATACATGCGCCCTCGCTCTTGCTATGATATTTATCTAGTTTAATTGTTTTGATGATAAAAAAAAGGAGGGAAATTTCATATTATCATTCTTAGTTCCTTAAATTAATTGCATTTGCATTGCCTGATTATGGTAAAATTTAGTCTTGGAAATGATGTGTTTTTTCTTATATTCCATACAACACCAGGAATCTACCAGTCAAAGACTCAGAGTAGTTGTTTGATGATTGTCTTCTTTGCACAAACATCGCTGACACACTTATAATCTAAACTATTGTCTGTCTTCTTAAATGTATCATTAGAATTTCTCTCTCCAATAAGTTAATGATAACACAAACTCTAAAACAAGAAGGGTGCACATTAATTGTAAGACTCTTGTTTTTGTCTTTTAACTAAATTGTACTGTATAAAATAAAGAGTAATGCTAAGTACTGGTATAGACATACTATCTTAGGGACACTGATAAGCATTTAGGGCTACGTAATCAAATTAGAAAAAACAAGTGCATATTAGACTATCGCTTTATTTATGTTTCTTTTAGCACTAAATATCGTTAATTTCGAAATGAAAAATTGTGAAAATTACATACTACTCCCTCCGTCCCTTAATTATAGGCATATAACTAAGGGACGGAGGGAGTACATATTAGCATACTACGTGCCCCATGAGGTCAAGTTTAGTCAATCAGATAATCAAATTAGATTACTATTAGATCAGAAACATTAAGCAATTAGATAAGATAAGTAAAAATATTGTGAATTAAACATACATAGCTTACTATTTTACTTTTAATTCTTTACACGTAGCCCTTAAGGTTTCTTGTATCATTTTTCTAATATGTAAGGTTCTTTATTTTTTTTTCTTTCCTTTTCGGTAAAGTAATTTTCACAAAAATACATCAATCATCAATATATTATTCCCTTTGTCAAACTAAATATTCTAAGACTCATTTGGCAGCTATGAAACATAATGTCTAATTATCACAAGAGCTTATTCACTTTATAAATGCAAAAAAAATTCTCTCGGCGCTATCAAAGTTGACATGTCAAAAGCTTGTAAGTGTGTAGAATGGACGTTTTTATTTAAGGTCCTAAAAACTTATTGTTTCTCCCATCGTTGGGTCCAATGAATTTTTCATTGTGTCTACCTTCATCTTCAACCTTCAAGGCTACTGTTAACAGAAAAACAATATAGAACTTCCAGCCACATTGTGGCCTTCGCCAAGGTGATCATTTATCCCCCTATCTCTTCCTCTGTATGGATGGATGTGTTTGTCAAGAATCTTTATTAACTGAAGAAATCAAACAATTTAGTGGTATTAAAATTGGATGAAGAGCCCCAAAATTTCATTGATTTTTTGCAGATGATGCCATGTTTTTTTGCCCCCCAAATAGACAAAACCTCTTGCACAAATATCCGCGATATACTAGCTAGGTTTGGGTCAGTCTCAGGATAGCTGATAAATTTTCAAAAATCTTACATTAAATTTAGCATGTCTGTTCCCCAAGATCTAGTTAGGCACTGTTCTTTTGAGCTTATGGGCAGAGCAGATCAGATTTCAGCAAAGCAGAGCAGAGCAAGGCTAGGCTTCCACACACTGCGGAGCAAAGCAGGGCAGAGCAGAGCACAACAGATTTCAGCAGAGCAAAGCAGAGCAGAGCAGTGCAGAGTAGAGTAAAGCAGTGCAGAGCACATAGCAGAGCAGAGCAGCTCTAAAGAACAAGGCCTTAGTGAGTGTAAGGATATTCTCCATATTCCTAGTGTGCAAACTATGGGAGCACAATTGGGGAATCCAATTGATCTTTCGGACAAGAAATCAAAATTTTTAAAAATTTTCTCATGGAGAAGGACAAGACCAGAAACTCTTTTTTGGACTGCGTGAAGGTTATCACAATATGCAAAATTGGTACTTATAAACTCTGTTTTAATGGGTATCTCATCTCATGGTATGAAATCATTTGAGCTGCCAATTAGCTACAGTGAACAAGATAGACTCAATCATAACCAGATTTTGGTGGGCTACAAGTGGAGAAAAGGGTATTCGTTGGGCTAAAAATCATTTGCACAGTCACCAAAAGGTATGGGTGGTTTAGGGATTCGATCTACTAGCATGGTTAATGATACTTTTATCTTCAAAAATGTTGTTAGGATGCACCCCTAACTTCTTGCCTGTAAAATTTTCAAAGCTAAATTACAGTGTGTCTTATGTCATGAAATACCTAGGAACCAGTCATTAGGTTCATTTTCTTATGCTAAAAAAGGTTTCCAAACAGTAGCAAGCCAGTTCCTTCTCGGGTTGCTTGGAAGATTGCGAGTGGTGATAAGAAAGTTTCGGTGGTTAAGTATAATCAAATTTTACGTGAGAGTTTAAGATGAAAGGTTTAACACTTAATTAATCATAATACATGTTTCTAAAATGCTTCATTAGTGAGAGAAAAGTTTGAATGGGATAGTGCAAAGGCAATCTTAGGATGGAATTACGTACCAAAGGAAAGGAATGATGATTTCATGTACTGGCCTGATCATTCATTGGAAATTTTACAGTCAAAACTGGGTAATGTTTGATTTTTTAAAAATCGTATGGAGACTTAATATTCCCCAAAATGGAGTATGTTCATATGAAAACACTTTTATGATGATATTCCTACGAAAGACAAACTCGTTCAAAGAGGAATGCATTATGTGATTGTTGTGGTTTAGAGAATGAGAATTCGTAACGTAACACATCTTAAGATTCTGTATTTTGTCTAGTTTTGCGTGGAGTAATGCGGCTTGCCAAATTATACTCTGATGCGGATTTGGATGGTCTACAAAGGTGAATGAAGGGAACTTCTTTGATGCGGGAACTGGCTTTAGGCTAGCAACTAACCTCATCCTTAGCTTGCATTCATGCGAAGGCTCAGGCGTGTCTTGAGGCCTTGAAATAATGGTACAATATAATGGGTTTCTCAATGGTCCTCTTATATTCTGACTCCATGAATTTGGTCAGTTTATTACGAAATGACATAAATGAGATAAGCGTCTTCAAGACTATGCACGCATGAACTTAAGAAGCTAGTATAGGTTGGGTTTCAATGCTATAATATTGTCAAGGTAGAAAGGGAACATGTGCAAAGGGCACATCTCTTGCGAATGATAGTAGCAATAGTTTAATTAGGTTTTCTTTTTCTTTGTAATTTATTTGTGTTAATGATGATGTCAAAAAATATTAAAATTAAACATTCTTTCAAAAAACACCCGCTTTCTCTATCCCTCACTTCCTCTTATGCTCTAGGGTTTAATATTATTTTGGCAATTAAGCTGAAAATAGTCTACATTCTTCAGAAATTGGTCTATTTTTGACCCATTTCTTTGCAATTTCAATAAATCTATACGTCAAGTGTAGATGTAGTAATCCCCCTATGGTGGACTTGTTGGTTGTTGCCTTGTTGGTGTAGTTGTTTGTTCCTCGTAGAAATTTATTGTGGTTTAAGGCTTATAAAAAAAACCTATCTTTTTCTACCTTACAATAAGGAAAATTTCACATTTACTACCAGGCAAAGCACCCTAACTCACAATTGCTACCCCTTTAATTTTTTATTTTATATTACTAACACAAAAAAAAAAAAAAAAAAAAAAAACTAACTGTTAAAATAATTACCACTTAACAGATTCTGTTAAAGAATCGTTAGTGGGGCCTACACCATTAACTACCTCCATCTAACTCCCTCTCTCACCCCGTAACTATCTTCTCCCTTTCTCTCTCTTCTCCCATTTATTTTACTGAACCTCCATAATTGACCAAGTATAAGTTTTTTTTTGCCCTTTTTTTCTTTACGCATCTTTCTCTCTCTTTCACTTGGTCGATTTGTTTCTCTCTCTATCTTACCTTAAGATCTAGGGTTTGAGTGCGTGTACGAATTTGATTGAAGGGGTAGGTCCACCTGGGAGCATCGTCATCTTCCTTGCTAAAGTGGAAGCTTGAAGAATCTGCTGACAGCAATTGACAAGTAACAACCCTTTTTCGTACTTGTAGTGGTCCAACAAAGAATCACTGGTGGTCAATTTGCAATAAAATACTGTTAGTGTGGGCAATTTAGACAAAATTGTTGTTTAAGTAAACCCTAGATTTCTGCGCTTAGGTAATAAAATTATTAACTAATTGTGTAATTAATTAATCATGTGTGGGTATACAATCATGTTTTATGACGTGTTTGTTTTACATTGTCAGTTTGTGCTCTGTGATGGTTGAATTTAAAATTGATTTTTGTATGGTTTACTTGATTTAATTGTAGAAAAATATGGATGGTGAGGATGATACTATTGACATTAAGCTTAGGCTATTTGGAGGGTTTGTGGAGAAGGAGCGTAGGGGGAAGAAGTATTTGGTTTATGAAGGTGGGTTTGTTCATTGGAAGTATGATGTTCCAGTGTCATATGTGAGGAGTGTGATGTACTTAAGCTTTCTGTGTAATGAAGGGTTAATAGCTTTGGGGTGGGAGGCTCCTGAGATTTATATCTTGTGGTATAAGGAGAGGGGAAAGACTTAGGTAAATGGGAAGAAAAGGATTGACAATGATGATGATGATGTTATGGGCTTCTTAGAGTCCAAACACAGTGCAGAGCATGTGGAGTTGTTTCAAACTGTGGGGCTGCAAGAGTGGGACAGGTATCACCCTCCTGAGGTTATTTTGGATAACCCACCCACATCCAACCAGTCTGTATCAGGATCACAGCCACCCCATTCAAATCCAAATAACCCAAAACCAAATGGTAATGGATCTCAAACTTCTAATTCACACCCATCTCAGCCCATACCATCTCAAACTTATCAGCTTACTAAAATAGAAGCTAATCCTGCATCTACAAACACCCCAAAACCAAATAAAGCCCATGTGGATAGGAGGAGCCCAAGGAGTGTTCAGCCTGTTGAGAGTTATCCACCTACAGCTGAAAGTAACCTAGCTACAACTAAGAGTAAGCCACCTTCAGCATCTTTACCTAGAATAAAACTAAAGCCTAGGAAACCCATTTAGTCTGTGTGTAGGAGAAGCCCTAGGTTTACTAAAGATTTTGGAAAGGGGGAGGGTGAGCGTGTTGTCAGGGA